AAAAAAACTTAGCAAAGATATGGATCAAGCAATAGTCAAATCAATATAGCAGGTTTCCCATAATCACCTGACTGATTTGTATAGGTAGATAAAAATGTTTATCAACATGGTATTTTCTTCTGACATATTTTCTTCTGACATTTGTGAGAAGCATACATCTTGAGATGATCAATTAACAAGAAAGAAGTGAGATTATGATATTGCATTAAATGTGATTTGTGAGCTTAAAAATTCCTGTTTTAGAATGTACATATGCTAAAACCATAGGGCGGCTTTATGCAAACCAAAATCTCTTTAAATGTAATGAGTGTTACAAAGCTGGGCAACTTAAATATAATTGCTAAAAATAATCAAATTATAAATTGAAATATTTCCTTGAAGGGCAATATAAATGCTGATGGATTTACATTTTACCAAGTGGAATAAAATTGAAAAAGATGAAATTCAGATTTTCATTCAGTTCACTGAATTCATTTTGTAATTATGTCTTAACCTACCATAATATGTAGGTTAAAAAAAATATGCAGGCAGTATTCTCATGAACAACTTAACAATAGTACACTCGGTCAGATTTTCTGGATGTATGTGAAATACTAAGTCCATGGTAGTCAAACAATGGGCTAAAACAGGGGTCTGCAACCTTAAACACTCAAAGAGCCACTTGGACCCATTTCCCAGAGAAAAGAAAACACTGGGAGTTGCAAAACGTGTGCGTGCGCGAGGGGAGAAGCTTGATTGAAGAGTTTAATTAAAAAGAAATAGAGGCTGCTGTACATGAGTTCTCTCTCTTTCTCTCTCTCTCTTTCCTCTCCCTCTCTCTTTTTCTCTCTCTCCTCCCCTCTCCCTCTCTCCAATCTTCTGCTTACCTGCCAAGCTGGCTTCAAGCTGTTCTCCAACAAGCTGACACACATTCTTATTGGGCTGGCTCTCTCCTGCCCTTTCTACTTCCTGCAGAGACGCAGCAAAGGCAGGAGCCCCGCCCAATAAGCTTGTCAGCTCGTCGGAGAACAGAGAGAGAGAGAGAGAAGGGAAGCGCCTCTCTCTGTCTCTGTCTCTCTCTCTCTGCAAATGGCAGAGGAGGCTGGGAGCCGCAGCAGAAGGCTCAAAGAGCCACATGCGGCTCCGAAGCCACAGGTTGCCAACCCGTGAGCTAAAATATGATTAACTAACCAAGGTTATATAGTATGTTGAGTCCACACAGTAACTATATATCAGGAAGAAAATATTTTATCTTCAGTTTCGGCAGACCTGGGGATTTATAAAAATAATACAGAATGTGATGCATTATTTAGGTACATATAAAGATCTAGAGACAAATTTGTATCCTGAAATCCAAGTGGAGATAGTAAAGCGTACTTATAGATAGCCCCTAGAGAAGTTGAAGCAATTTAACAATAATGTCACTTAAAATTTTACTTGTTTCTGAGAATCACAACAGAAGCCTTATGCTGTTTCTTCATTTGTAGATTACTCAAGAGCAGGGGTGTCAAACTGTCAGCCCGCAGGCTGGACGTGTCATCTGGAAGTCGCGCCCACCCCATTGCCGGCAATGGCAAAACTGTCCCGATACGTTGGGCGACATCATGTGATGTCGCGAGTTTGACATGTCTGCTCTAGAGTTTCTGTGTTATAGTACTTTGTCCCTTTAAAATTGCTTTCATTTCTTTCCAGAAATATTGTGAAAGGGAGATAACATTTAATGGTACAATCATTTTAATTTTCATATTAGAATATTTAATTTTATTAAATGTATACTGCAAGTTATAGTGTACAGGTTATAAAATAAATTGAGATCCATGCTATGGTATTATGCTCAAAGAAGTATTGTATTTTTTTTCTTTCCAAACAAACCTGAAAGAGAATAAATTATTCACTATATATTGTTCTGATAGAAGCATTTTGTTGACCAGATGGTCATTCTCAAAGTACGGTTTTTGATTAATAACATTGCTAATAATATGAAACTTAATGTTTTTTTGATTATATTTTTTCAAGATGATCACAGTCGTGTAATACTACAGAATACGGACAATGATTATATCAATGCCAGCTTGGTGATTAATGAAGAAGCTCAAAGAACTTATATATTAACACAGGTAATTATTAGATTTTAAGTAATATAAAATTTGATTATATTATGTTAGATATTCTCTTCTAATAGTTAGGGCCTAATGTTGATTCCTTTGACTTCTCTATTTTTCTGATTTACTTAGCTGTTTCTTAATTAACTCTTTTCTGTTGGTGCCTACGTGGTGAGTCCATAAAGTTTCCCTGGCAACACTTTTGGAAGTTCCTTGTCACTGCGTCCTTCCTAAGGCTGAGAGAAAATTACTGGCCTAAGCTCACCCAGCTGGTGCATTCTCCCAAGGCAGGACTAGAAATCACAGTAACCTGGTTCCCAGTCTGAAGCTATTAATGCCTATACCAAACTTTCTCTCAACTTTAATCTAGATTTCCCCAATTTGGGTATAGTAGTAATGTTTGTGTTAATATAATTTAGGATTTTGTTCTCATATTAGTGCAGCTTTGGAATTAAGAAAAAGGAAACAAGAATGTAATAACTTTTTTTATTGAAAAGTTTTATAAAAGTTACAATATAAACCCCAAAACCAACCCACCCTAACCCCCCCCAAGAACGTAATAACTTGATCTGTTCTTTATAAACTATGGTGGATGAAAGGTGAAATAATTTTCTAAAGTAAAATCGAATTTATGAAGAAATGAAGCTTTTGTTGATGGCTTAAATAACGTTCAATATAATACAGAGAGGCTGATAACTAAAAGTTACTAAATCTAGATCAATTAATTTTCCCAAGAGGCCACTAGTGTTATTGTGGAGGACTTAGCAATAGGGCTGTCAAGGTGCATAGGCACACACGCATACACATACATAAAATTAAAAAAAAAAGTCGCCTTCAAAATAAAAGCAATGTAATTGTATTGCATGCATGGCATACATTTAATTATATTTAATTTCTAAGTTCAGATTGACCTCACACAGGTCGGAAAAGGACAGCCAAAGGGTTGAATATGGCCCCGGGAACTATAAAATGCCTAAGTCTAGTAGATATTTGAAAGTTCTTAAATAACTCAAATGTGAATTTACTAGTCTTATGAAAATACGTAACATGTCAGTCATTACACTAGCTAAGTATATAATACAGGTCATTGAAAAAGAGGGGAGAGGAGAATCCAGATAAATCCAGGAAATAACAAGTTGGTTGGTTGAATATTTGTTGCAGATAGAAAGATAAAAGGTATTAAAAATAAAATGAATATGAAAATCTTCCATCTAAAATTCAAGTGCAATTCTTAGCAGCTAAACTAGAATGAACAAATCTGAGATACGTTGCGAGTTGTAATTTAAATGTATTTATTTATAATTTATTTGGATCCAAATTTAAATTACCAATTTCAGAATTATTTCCTGCTAATAGAAATAGGTAGGACAATATTTTTGCTAGTTCTTCTGAATTTGCTAGTACCTTTAGTAATCATTGCCTACTTTTTTTTATGGCAGTAGCACTTTAATCCAATCCACTATCAAAATCTGATAGTCTAAAAATAAAAGCATTTTATACATTTATAAATATATTAATCTTACTGTCAGTATATAGCAGTGATGGCGAACCTTTTAGAGACCGAGTGCCCCAAAACCACCCCTGCCCCACTCTGCCCCCCACCTCCTGCTTGCAGGGCCACCCACAGCCTCCATGGCCTGTTGCAGCAGTTCGCCCAGGCGGTCCAGCAGTGCCATGGCGGCAATGCCCTCCGCCTGCACCCCGCAACATCATCTGCGCACGACGGGGCACAAGGGCGGAGTCTTGTCCCAGCTGCCATGTCCTTGGCTGTGCTGCTCTGCGTGGGCTGCGCCTGGGGGTGACTCTCCTCCGGGGGGCTGCTGGTAATGGGGCCATGGGGGAGGCGGAGCTGGGGCGATGGCGCACGTGCCTACAGAGAGGGCTCTGAGTGCCGCCTCTGGCACACGTGCCATAGGTTCGCCACCACTGGTATATAGTATACAGTTTTGGCCAACGTTATACACTTCTTGTGCTTAACAGAAGTTAGAACTGTGCAAGATTGTTAACTTTCACTGAAGAGAGAGAAGGGCCCAGGGATTTTTTTCTGCTTAGAATGATCGCGCATAGGCCACATTTCAATGTGTACTGTGCAGAATTACGTCTCCAAATGGATCAGTATTATATTAAGAACTAGAGAGCCAATCTGGCCTAGTGGTTAAGGCACCAGACTAGAAAGCAGGAGACTATGAGTTCACGTTCCACCTTAGCCATGAAAGCCAGCCAGGTGATTTGGGGCTAGTCACACTCTCTCAGCCCGACTTACTTCACAGGATTGTTGTAAGGAAAGTAGGAGGGGGAAGGCATGTTGGACATGTTCACTGCCTAAAAATAGGAAAAGTGGGAAATAAAGTTTTTTCCATAATCGGACTTTTTCAGGAAAGGTTTAGTTCTAAGTTTATGTGGTGTTTCTTTCTCTTGTATAGGGTCCACTTCCTAACACATGTTGCCATTTTTGGCTAATGATATGGCAACAAAAGACCAAAGCAATTGTCATGCTTAATAGAACTGTTGAGAAAAATTCGGTAAGTTGTCCTTTTTTATTTTAGTTAAAATTAGTTAATTGTATTTGACAGGGTTCCCAATCCTTTGGAACTGATGTATAGAAAAGAGAATAAGAATTTAATATACCAGTGGTATACATTCTGCTGGTAAACAGACATAACCAAATATGAACTCTGACTGCAACTTAATCCAGTTACATTAGAATAAAATAGATCCAAGTAAATATAGTATGCTATTTATTTAAAAGATTTATATGGCTGCAAATCAAGAATTGTGGACTTACAATTTTTAATTGAAATGCAGGACTATTTATTTTGATATCTAGAATCTAATAGAGGTTGGAAGATTATTTTTGTGAATAAGCCTAGATGATGCTAAATTTGTTTTCGATATGCAAAATAAGTTATAAAAACTGTAAATGAATGTATGCATGTCAAATGTGTATGACAAATTGCAGTATTATTATTTTACAATGTAGGTGAAGTGTGCGCAGTACTGGCCAACAAAAGAAGAGGAACCCATGTTATTCAGAGAAACAGGATTTTGTGTGAGGCTAAAATCTGAAGATGTCAAATCATATTACACAGTACGACAACTCCAGCTAGAATGTATTGATGTAAGTTAGCATTAAAATTGTGCTTACCACACCAAAATAGTTTCATAATATTATGTTACCACTAATTTAATTTTACTTTGACAAATTTCAGTTCAGTAGAATGTTTTCAAATCATTCATAATTGCATAGCTTTTCAATAGCAGTTGGAGTGTGAACACTACTTATGTCAGATGTAAAAGACCAGGTCCACATGTGAATGTTCAATTTAACTGTTGTATTGCTTAAAAGCCTATGCACAAGAACCTTCTCAACTAATGATCAGCACCAGGTTACAGTTAGTTAAGGGTCAATGGCAGTCAAAGGGAAGTTGGACTTAGTTTATTTGTAACTATGTAGTAATTTTAGGCTGATCCTTTTTTTAGCAGTCCCCCTGGCTCTGCCAGTCCTTCTCTTGCATCTTGGTTCACAGAGAAATGGCTGATAAAAAGCAGGTAGAGAAAGGATTAGATGCTAGTGGCGTTCTTTCAGTGTTTATTATTCAGATGCTTCATTTAAATAACCAGATCTTTTATGGGGCTGCTGGGAGGAAGTCTCATACCATAACGTCTAGAATATGGCAAAAGGGAATCAAGAGTTCTGAAGTATCTAGAAAAGAAATCACACTGAAAATACATAATTGAATCTTCCTTTTACTAAATAAGTTCATTTTTTGTGTTGCCTTGTAGTTGAATATTAATCAATTGGGTCGATCAATTTTTCTCCAATTGTCTTGGTTTTTTTAATTATTATTTTTTTCAGAAGCCTTTTCAAGGTGAGGAAACGTCACAGAATTTTACTTTCTGGGCCAGCTAGACTTTTTCATGAAATTATTTCTTTTCCCCCACCATATTTGATACATGTTCTTTTAGTTGACTACATTAGCATATTATGTTCTGCTAAATTGCTCTTTTTTTCTTTAGACTGGTGAATCCAGGGTAATACTACATTTTCACTATACTACATGGCCAGATTTTGGAGTTCCTGAATCCCCAGCTTCATTCCTCAACTTCTTGTTTAAAGTCAGAGAATCTGGATCTCTGAGTTCTGAACATGGACCTGCAGTCATTCATTGTAGTGCTGGAATTGGACGCTCTGGTACATTTTCATTGGTAGACACTTGTCTTATTGTGGTAGGTTTACTTATCTGAAAACTCACAGATTTTTCTGAGATAATGTGAAAGAAATACCATTTCTCTGTGAATTGTAGCAGGATTGAACTAGCTCCGACTCCTTGCCCCCAAACCAAAAGATTTGCCAGATCAGGGCCACAAATTAGTCTATTCTAGTGTGCCATAATATTTGAAAAAGGAAATGGAATTAAATTATATTTCATCTTGAGGTGTGACCTAAATTGAGATTGCTCAAATCATTTCCATGTTGAGATATGGCTGGACAGTTTCACAAATGATGTCTTTCCTGAAAATGAAGAAACAGAAGACCTCTAAAACTAGCTTGTTATCACTATAACAAACTAGAGGTTGCTGAAGCAGACATAAAAGTCATATTTCTACAGGAAAGTAAAAAAGAACTATAGTAATCTTGGTTTTATCTTATAAGTCCCTATCATCTTGAAAAATTACACTGTAAGTACACATTATTCTCTTCACTGATTTGAAAATAGTGTATTATAGCAGAACTCTTATAGCTCTGTATATTTATAAAACAGTCTCCTCAGCTTCAAGAAAGCGAGGTATTGTTTCCATTTTCACTATCATAATAAAGAGGCAGTTTGATGTATTATTATTATTTATTGAATTTATATACCGCCCTATCTCCCTTACGGGACTCAGGGCGGTGAACAGGCGATAATAAAAACCACGATAAATATACACAAGTTTCTGTTCTAAAATCAAATTAAATGTAGTAATTAAAGTGTTGGTTTTGAAATCAGTAGACTCAGAGAGTCTAGGCCTCCCTTAGTCTAGGTCAAGGGTCTTCAATCTTGGCCACTTTAAGACTTGCGGACTTCAACTCCCAGAATTCTGGGAGTTGAAGTCCACAAGTCTTAAAGTGGCCAAGGTTGAAGACCCCTGGTCTAGGTGATTTTGAGGCAGTCCTTGTCTGCCTTTGACAAAGCCTTGGAGACCCACTTCCTTTCATAGACATTAAACTGGAATGCTAGATGTATGCACTCTATTGAAGTCAAGTATTTTGTACATTGTGATCTCTTCCCTTGAAATCGGTGTTTCATTCTTGCATTAATTGTTATGTTTAACTGGTGCTACCTACCCAGATATTGTACAAATCTCAAGTATCTTGAGACAGGTTAAAACTGAAATCAAATGAAAATTGAAGAGATCTAGTCTGTTAATTTGCCACCAAAACTGTATTTTTTTTTTCATTTCCAGATGGAAAAAAGAAACGACCCATTTCATGTAGATATCAAGCAAATATTATTAAATATGAGAAAATATCGGATGGGACTGATTCAGACTCCTGATCAACTAAGATTTTCATATATGGCTGTAATAGAAGGAGCAAAATATATAATGGGGGATTCCACTATGCAGGTAAATACATTGTCTGCTTTTTAAGTCACACTGGATGGGTCATAGTAAATTTCACCAAAGCAGAATACGGGTAGTCCTCCCTTATTAAACATGTGTTCAGTTATGGTTCAAAATTACAATGGCACTAGTAGGTACTGACGGTCCTCATAGTTAACAGCCAGCACAACACACTTTCAGTGACATAAACAAAATTCTGATGCTTGGTAGTTCAGCCACTGTCACAATTGCATGTGTGCTTTGACTCCCGTGCCTATCTCCTTCCCATCTCTGCCCATTTGGCTGCCCTACATTCCACCAATCTCAGTTGACCTTTACTATCTTTCTACTACTAATGACTGCATCAAAACTACTAGAACTGTCACCACTAAGTGGTGCAGTCACGTAATGTTTCCCCTAACAACCACTCACTTAGTAACAGAAATCAGGCCCTAGTTAAAGTAGTTAAGCAAGGACTACCTGTATACTGTTCTTTTAAGATTCAACTAGTGAAGACATTTTTTTTCTTATTCAGTATCGCTGGAAGGAACTCTCAAAAGAAGACCAAGCACCAAGTTCTGAATGTTCGCCTCCTCACCCAACTAAACCTACTGCAGAAAAATACAATGGAAATAGCATGGTTTTAGAAGAACAGGAGCCAGAAGATGTTGATCTGATCTCTCCCATACAAAATGATTCAGATACAAATGATGACAAGTAAGTAATTGTTTTATAATAACATTAAAACTGACTGGTGGACAAAAACCAATTTTATCTAATGTTTTGGATGACAAGACTTTGTCATTTTTTACATACACAAAGTAATTAAATTGATAAAATAATTTATCCTGGAATTTTGTAGATTTTTTTTTAGCTGTACTACAGAGTGGTAGTATTTTTCTTTCCCAGGCCCCAGGGATACCTGACAGCTAATAATACTGTACTTCATAGTCCCAACAATTTTGAAACAATTACATTTTATTATTTTTATGAGTAGCACCGAGCATTGAAAAGCAGTATGAAAATACCCTTTGTATGAGAATCCATTTGCCACTGAAGGAAACAAAAGTTCCCTGCCAGTAGAAATTCTGCTATGGATAATTTATCTTCAGACATCTGAATGTACTTACAGGATGTGAGAGAATAATACACATCCACTGACAAGTTCTGTTAGCAGAAGAAATTTGTATTCGTTTTTGTTTGGTTTTTAAACATGATCTTATAAATACTAGAGATGTCATCTCAAAAAACATACTGCTGAGTTAAGGGTTGGTGGTATCATACATTGATGGATTAACATTAATTACAGGTAGTCCTTGACCCACAACCATAATGGAGCTTGCAAAGTTTTTTTGCTACTTGTCTGCCTCCTTCATAGACCCTGCTGGATGGGTGATCTCCCAGGGCCTCCCCCACCCAGGAATCACTCCATGCTCACTTAATGATCTGCATATTTAACAATGGCACCAGGGAGAGCGGGGGCGTGTGTGTTAAGCCAAAGATATCTCAATAGTTATCACGTGTGTCCATAATGGAGCTTGCCAGTAGTAGTAGTAGTAGTAGTAGTAGTAGTAGTAGTAGTAGTAGTAGTAGTAGTAGTAATAATAATAATAATAATAATAATAATAATAATAATAATAATAATAATAATAATAATAATAATAATAGAATTGGAAGGGACCTTTGAGGTCTTCTAGTCCAACCCCCTGCTCAGGCAGGAAATCCTATACCATTTCAGACAAATGGTTGTCCAGTCTCTTCTTAAAAACTTCCAGTGTTGGAGCATTCACCGCTTCTGGAGGCAGGTTGTTCCACTGATTAATTGTTCTAACTGTCAGGAAATTTCTCCTTAGTTCTAGGTTGCTTCTCTCTTTGGTTAGTTTCCATCTGTTGCTTCTTGTCCTGCCTTCAAGTGCTTTGGAGAATAGCTTGGTTCCCTCTTCTTTATGACAGCCTGAGATATTGGAAGACTGCTATCATGTCCCCCCTCGTCCTTCTCTTCATTAAACTAGACATACACAATTCCAGCAACCGTTCTTTGTTTTAGCCTCCAGTCCCCTAATCATCTTTGTTGCTCTTCTCTGTACTCTTTCTAGAATCTCATCATCTTTTTTACATCATGGTGATCGAAACTGGATGCAGTATTCCAAGTGTGGCCTTACCAAGCATTGTAAAGTGGTATTAACACTTCACGTGATCTTGATTCTATCTCTCTGTTAATGCAACCTAGCACTGTGTTGGCTTTTTTGGCAGCTGCAGCGCATTGCTGGCTTATATTTAAGTGATTGTCCACTAGGACTCCGAGATCCCTCTTACAGTTACTACTATTGAGCAAGGTATTCTGTATCTGTGCATTTGGTTTTTCTTGCCTAAATGTTTGTAGAACTTTACTTTTTTCACCATTGAATTTCATTTTGTTAGATAGTGCCCTATGTTCAAATCTGTCAAGATCTTTCTGTATCTTAAGCCTATCTTCTGGAGTGTTGGCTATTCCTGCCAGCTTCGTGTCATCTGCAAATTTGATGAGTTCCCCATCTATCCCCTCATCCAAATCATTGATGAAGATGTTGAAGAGCACTGGGCCCAGAACAGAGCCCTGGGGCACCCCTCTACACACTTCCCTCCATGTCGATGCAGTTCCATTGAGGACCAGAAGCCGAGTATGGCCGGTCAGCCAGCTACGAATCCATCTGGTGGTGATGCTGTCTAACCCACATTTTTCTATTTTATCAAGTAGGTTGTGGTCTACTTTATCAAATGATAAAGTATTAAAATGGCATCCTTCAATTTAATTTGTTAAAACCAAGTATTAAAATGTTTATCTCACTATTGCTTTTCATGTATTACCAATACAGCTTGGTAATTAAGGGATGCATGGAATAACTCAAAATAGAGCTGACTAAAGTTTTTATTTTTTTTAAGGGCTTTACGGAAAAGGCTGAGAGAAGACAAAAAAGCTAACACAGCACAGATGGTGCAACAGATGAAACATAGGCTGAGTGAATCTGAAAGAAAAAGAAAAAGGTGGTTATATTGGAAGCCTATTGTTATTAAGATTGGATTTGGTTCAGTCGTATTTGTTATAGCTTATTCTTCCTGGAAATTGTATTCCCAGTACATGCTCATGTAAGTAAGTGAGCAGTCTTGCATCTACTATGAATCCTATGTCCCATGATTTAGTGGGATTTAAAGTGAATATAAATGAATCCAAGATTGCTGCCACATCTGATAAAACAAATGTGTTTTTACTTTGGTAGGGACAATTTAACTTGCAGCATTGAAGTCTTGTCATCCAGTGATTGACATGATCATAAATTGGTCTCAGGATTTTTCGATACTGGTACTTCTGAAACCAAATTGCCACTTGAATTAAAATTATACATTTGTTAGATAAATTGATGCACATTTTCAGCAACTATATATATGGTATCTAAATTGATAGTTCAGTAGCCTGAATGGCCAAGTCACCAGAAGGATGACATACATACATGATAGAAGCAATAAACCGTGTGGTGTTATTCTGAATGCAAAGTTACATTTCTATATTAATGTACCATGAACCATTTATACTATGCAGACGTAAAGCAAATTTGATAACTATATAATCAATTTGTAAATAATTGTATTTTTAAAAGCTACATTTGTATGAATTTATCCAATAGAAATGAGTGATTGGTGCATCTACCACGAACTTTTCAAGATTGACTTGGACCATTCCCCAGTGCAATGATTAATAAATTGTTGTTTCAGAAATTAAATGTTAGCAAATAATTATTCTTCAATTTTTACTTGTAAGATGATGCATATATGTATTTATGCTTAGCTACTATTTTATTTGAAAATATTTAATTTTATAAGGCTACTGGGAGGTTAGATCTTGTCTCAAGCTGCCTCTTTGGAAGAAATGCTTTGTTAAGACTGCAGCTACTGTTGGAAGCCATAGCTTGTATTTAAAGCTTAAACATTCCATTAAATGTGAAACATTTTTGTGGGTCTTACTGGATTTGAGTCATATTCTTCTATAGCTTCTTTGTCTATAATTGGAATAGGCAGCACATTGCCAATTTGATAGTAATTTCAGAAAATAAAATTATAGGGCGTATCAGAAGCATTACAAATGGAAGCAAATAACCATAATGTAAATTTAACAGGGAAAGAGGGTGCAAATTAAAATTTATGAAGCTGCTGGCACTGGGCTGCAGCACAAGCTATATATAAGAATAATCCTCTCCATTTTATCACAACATTTGAACAAGAGCAACCAATTATGTTTCACACATATCCTACACAATATTATCATAGCTTTTGGCATCCATATCATTTATAGCACCCCTCTTTATCCAAGTATCTTATAAGCCCCATCTCAGATTCTCTTACTTAAAATAATTAAACTGACCTGACCTGATAGAAATACAGTTTTATCCATTTTTAAATGTTCCAAAACATCACTTTGTAAAGTGGATGGATCATCATGATCCATATGAAAATACAAAATTCTGGGCCACAACATATGTGTTAGGCGGTTGATATGTTTGGGACAACTGGATCTTTTGCTCTCATATCCTGCAAGCTCTTTAGAGTTGCTGGGAAATCTTCTCCAAATCTTATGAGCAGAGCTTCTGGAAAATACCATGTTGCCAGTGAGGATACCTTCTAGGTTTAACCAACAATAAATTATTTATGGCTAAATAATACAATTTACAGTCTAGTGTTAGTATATATGTTTCTTATAAATTCTCGTCTTGAAAAAAATAGCATCCCATGTTTTGAAAATATTGAAATATTTAATGCCAAGTTCCTCATGCCCTTTACTGCATAAAAGAAATAGAAATACTAGAAAACAAAATGGCCATTTGTTTCATCCTTCCTAGCCTACAATTTATAATTTGAAAGATAATAAACAGTGTATTTTAACTGAACACTCCTTCACACCTGGCCTCAACTCTTCCATTTTATGCTGTAGTATGACTCATGCTGCCATTTGTAAAATTTGTGGATGGTGCTGAAACATAAGTATGGTAGAATTGTTAAAAAATATTTTCATGCATTGATCCAGAACTGTCGTTACATACATATACACATACTTATTACATAGGAAACATGAAATCACAGTAAATGTTCCCTCTGAGATTAACCAGTTTCAAGGCTTTGTTTTAGGTGTACATCTATACACAAAGATAATCAGTTGAGGCACTCTGCTCTATTGCTACCCCCAATAAATAATATAGACTTGCTTTACATTGTGTACTGTGATTGGCAGCAACTTTCCTAGATTTTGGAAAATCTTTCATACCTGGGGGTTACAAAGATAAGATACAAGAATTCTTCTACTGCACTATAGCCCTGCATTTTTCTGTTCAGCTTTAATGTTCTAGTTCCTTCTCCGGTAAGCATTTGGCTACATTTTATAGAGTGGATTATATTTTCTATTTTTGTTCAGGTTCATTAATTCACATCACACAAATCATAAGCACAAAGTATAATGCAGCTGGATACTTTAATTCTAACAGTTTCCAAAAAATAATTGTTGCAGTGTTTTCATGAATATAAATACATTTTTTAAAATAAGCTTGATCAATATACATTCTTGTGAATACATTGATTCAATTAATTGCAATTATTAAGCATTTTAAAAACACCTTCCTATTTTCAGTTTCTTTCAGTTCTATAACAGTAATGGTTATATTGATTCCTTATATTGCTTCTTGCCCTTCAATGTGATATAACATTCAGCAAGTTTTTGTTTAGATTTTCTTTCTAAAATGTGATAGCTAATGCCAAGATATTTGCTACACTTCCACTGCATAGCCTACTTTTTAAAAAGTATACTTGTGGCTTATTTCAAAGGGAACAGATAGTGAACTGTTTCTTATACCAATTCAATAGGAAAATGGATTTTTTGTGATTTTATAACTTAGTTCAAGGACACTTTGTTATAGCAAAATGCCCATACACATACGTATATATCCAAGCTGCAGTATCCACTCATTAATAAATTCATCTTTGATTTAAAACAACTGATATACACTGCAGTTATAAAACCTTAAAATTATACTCCTGACTGTACTGAACTTGTGATTCTTTTACATTGTGTGTTTATAGGCCGAGAGTGACTGATGCCAAGTAAATTGCCAAGACTTGAGAATGTTCTTCAGCTATAATAACACACTATTGACATGCAAAACAGGACATCACTGTTCTTCAGGAAACAAAAATGAGGTCTGAGCAATACACAAGTGGCCTCATAAATATCTGTTTACAGCGTAAACAAACAGGGAATGAAGTACATCACCAGCAAGAGACTTTGCAAAAGAGAATTTGTGTTACGTGTTTTATGCTTGTATTAACTATAGAGTTGTAAGATCACATTTACAAAATCTTTGTACTGCCATTCTTGTATTTTTTTATATTTTTGGCAGCATTAAATATTTTTTTTAATTTATATGCTGTTGTGTGTATATTTTTTAATCCAATTCCAGAAAGATTAGTGGCAATGCTCTGAGAAATTCTATTTTAATCTATTGTTACTCTGTTTCAGCTGCAATATTTCTACATGATTACTTGTGTTTTATTTTGCTCTTATTTTCAGTGAAAATTTAACACATTTTTCACATTTATTACAAATAGAGAATGATGTTTAAATAATGATAAAATCTATCATGGTAGTACTGAATATACATATTTTAAATTAGAAGATGCAGTGGGGAAAGAAGGTCTATCCAGAGTACGGGTGTCAAACTTGCCACATGTCATGACGTATCGCAATTTTTTTTGCATTGCTGGAGCTGGGGTGGGTATGGCCCCCCATATGATGCAACTGGCCCGTGGGCCAGCAGTTTGACAGCCCTGATCCAGAGCATTTTCAAAAGTTCATTTTCCGATCATTTTGTATTTAAAAGAAAATGATTATCTCACTGATACAAATCCACTCTCACGTTTTTATATCTCTGAGGGAGATGGGCGGTTTAAAAATAGGAAACACAAATAAATAATTGAAAAGTTTAAAGAATCTGGATTTAAAATTAACTATGTCCAGCTATGGCAGTGCTGATGAATTAGACTTACCATATTTTTACACGTAAGTGAAAGTTGGAACAAATCTGGAGCTTGCGTGAGTGAATTACTGTATATTGCTCATAAAGAGAAATACATTTGTTTTTGTTTAAACAGAAATTTAACAAAGAAATAAAAAAAAACCAGGCACAAGACAAAGGTTTTTTTGCATCTGGGACACTCCAATATCAGTTTCTTCTTTAGTGACAGAATTATTTTAACCTGCTTAGAAATACATTTACCAAATACTAACATAACTCATTTGAAAACATTGCTGTCCTTTTAAGTACTTACAGCTGCTTTATGTAAGACCAACAATTTTGGGTACTTACGTATCAAGTGTTAAAGCTACAAAGCAATTAAAAAAGCAACCCTTTAAAATTCTAAACCACATGTTCCCATTTTACAGTGAAACAAACCCTCTTCCTGTAACATGAACACAGACCTTTATATGCCTCAAATTCTTGTTTTAAGAAAGCTGAATTTGGACTTAAGTCAAATATAATACCCATGATTTTATAAAATCTGCTTCATTTATTTTGTACAAAATTTTCTGAGTACATTTAGAAGATCACCACATAACCCATAATTTCTCTTGTCCAAATGTTACATGCATCTAAATGTGACAAAAAATGGCAGTGATATAGATGTTGAATATCTCAGTTTTCCTTTATTTACTCTTAAGAAGAAATTAAATATGTATAATGAGAAGAAGCATGGAACATTTTGATATTTGAACCAAAAGTATGCCAAGGATTTATTTTATGTCCAACTTTATCCAGTTTTGATATAAGTTTGCTCCAGTAAATTAAAATATCCATGAAAAGTGATAATCAATTTCATACAAAATTACATAGGCCTGTAGATGCAAATGGACTATGTGAAAAACAATGTGATTTAAAACAACGAAGATGGGAGTCCACTACCAAAAAGTAGTTTCCAGGAACTTGGTATTTTCCATCTTGAAGATTTTGCTTGAGAAGTGCTATTCTATTGATTAAAAAAAGAATAAAGCAAATTATTTCCAGCAGTATAATTCCATTGATCTAAATATTTGTGATGAAATGTAATAAAGGAGATGGATCCCCAGGAGGGAGAGGGTGCATTCCAGGGGACTAAGAGGCAACTCAGCCCATAAAGCTTGAGAGAGAAAAAGTGGACACAAGACCTGCCTAATAGTTTGTAGGGTATATTGTAGATTACAGATAGAATCTTCCATCTGGCAAGATTTCGTCTATAGCTGTGAAACAATAAAGAACTCACCTTGGAAAAACTGCTACATGTCATTTTTGGTTTTGACCTGATATATTTAAAACCTAGCATTTGGTAACTGTTAAGAGTGGCCTAATGAATCAAAAGGCATTGACTACAGATAGTCCTCATTTTCTGACCATTTGTTCAGCAACTGTTCAAGCTTACAACAGTGTTGAAAAAAATAACTACCTTCAGGTGTTCCCCCAGTCGTGTAATTGGCTAGGAGGCAAGCAAAAGTCAAAGATAAGAAACCGAGTTATCATGTCTCTTTCCAGGCAGAAAATACAGCTATGTTAATGTGATTTCCCACTTAGTGATGCTTCACTTAGGGTCAGAGCTGTCAGTCTCAAATTACAGCCATTACGTGAGGACTATCTGTAGTCTATTGCCACCAAATAGTTTTTGAATTAATTATTCTGAAGAATCTTGCAAAATTTGAGATCATTATGATACAATGGTAGTTTTGAGCTTTTCTATGCTATGCTATACTATACTATACACCTTCATAATTCCATCTTCATTCAAAATTGACCCATCCACAGGAACCACAGAAAACTTACAAAAATCCTTTATTACTGTAAAACTGGGAGTGGGAAGAACAGACAAGACGAGAAGGAAATACTTTTCTACTGCAATATTCATTTTATGGAATAGCTTTCTATAGGAAGTTCAGCTTGCTGTAATCTTGCTGGTTTCCCAAATATAGGCTAAAATAAAGCTTTCCTAGAGATATTTTAACTAATAAATTTACATAGAACCATTGAAATGTTACCTATTATTGGGATACCATTATAATTTGAATTAATTTAAATTTAAATAGTATTGTATATATTTATTTAAATAGTGATCTATATATGTTTATTTCAATGAACCACCAAAGGTCACAAAATTATGGTGTTTTAAAAGACAAGTAAGTATATTTTCAACTAAATTCTGGCTCCATAATCAATTGTAAGCAATTTTCTGAAGAATCTTCCTTAACTCCCGAAATCAAAGTAATGGAACACATACTTACCTGAGGTGAAATTAGTGGTAAAACTTCATTAAGGTAATCGGCAAGGGCAAAAGCATCAGGAATATTATCTCCTTCAGAGCAGAATTTCAGCAAAACCACCAGTGGAATTCCTTTTGAACAACTGGAATAAAAATAAAATGAAGGGGTGTGAAAAATTCAACAAACTCTTCATCTCGGGTGTAAATTATGCTGTAAATTGTGAATACTGTACAAGAGGAACAGAATACATTATATATTTAAAGAATGATTTTATCCCAAAAGAAAACAAGACTGTTAAATTAATCTATCTTTGCTTTTCTTAGAATCAACTGGCTTGTCACACATTGTGTAAGTTTTACATACAAGTAATTACATTAACAAAGCAAAGCCTTTCTTTCAGAAAATTATGTGATAATTCAACAAAGTATTAATGAATTTTCCTGTGTTTTCTAACAATGATATTGTCACGCACATACATACTGTTTCAGTAAGTTTAAAGGATTGAAACATCTGTTCACATATTAGTCCACATTAACAGTTAATTGGTGACATTAATTATAAAAAACATATGCTTATATTTTATCCTATTTTCCCTACACTTCTGATTTAGCACTAAGATTCAACTAAAGAAGAAAGGGAAATATTATCATTCATATTTTGCATGAAGCCTGAGAAAAGTCAGTTATTTCTTTTTAACCAGTCAAAAGTTGAACATCAGTCTTATAAATGCCCATTCTGTGAAGTTTTAACAGGCTTTATATAAAAGATCTAACTAACTCATAATAATTGTCTTAGAAGTAACTTTTATCAAAATCAAAAAGAAACCAACTGCTATTGTGTACAAAACAGGCATTTTAAAGAAAACTAACAGATTAGGAACATACCAGAAATATTTACTTTTGAATCTAAGACTAAAATCTAAAGAATCATTTTAATTATGGCTAAAAGTTTAGCAGGGACCAGGGCGAATTCAAATCCCACTTGCTATGTTACTTCCATTTCATTAACTGGGTCAGAAATTTTCCTGCGTTTCAGAAAGCAATTGTATGCACTTAGAACACTATTATTGCAGAAATGAGAGCCAGTTTGGTTTACTACTTAAAGCATCACGAAGACGAGGTATTCTAATCCTGCCTTGGGTCCAAAGCCAGCTGTGTGACCTTGTTCCTATCACATTATCTCAGCCCTAGGAAGGAGGCAATGGCAAATCACTTCTGAAAAACCTTGCCAAGAAAACTGCAGGGTGTTTTCCAGGCAGTCTCCAAGAATTGGACACCAATGAATGGGAAAAAATATTATTGAAAAATAACACTCTAATGCATGATTGGTCATTTAAACTTAATTTTATGATTTTTTGGGATCCAAGCAATGATCCATTGACTACTTCATATTAAAAAAAAAAGAAATGTCTAATATGATGTTACTTTTCAATATTAAAACTTTACCATCACACCAACCTCTCTGTGAATAATAGTTTTGTAATACCACCTCCTGGAATATAGAATATTTTGTCATCATTTACTCCAGGAAATGCTGATATTTGCTCCAATTCACTGCCGCTCAGTCTCTCCAAAATATTTCCCACTGTTTTGTCAACGGCAGGTGAAATCAAGTATCGCAATGCAGTGCTGTCAACAAACCATAAAATTTAAGTTTAGCTGCAAAAATCAGAACTGTGACCTTTCAAAAGAACCAGTTAAAATCTAACTGAAATAGCATATTGCAATAAAGTTCTTGAGATTGCTAATAAATGGATCACTGCGACTAGGTTACCCTGTCCAAAAGTAGTTTCAGCTGAAAACTAGAAAAATGCACTTGTTGCCACAGAGTGCCTTGTACATTCTCTCTCTTATTCAAAGCAATAATTCTTGGACAAGAAAAATGTTTATTCACAGTGCTTCCATTTTATGGCCCTTAATGACTCTCATCCATTTCATTAGGGTGCGCAGAGACTGTCCTGAGCTTGCACAACATATACAGTAACTAACAACTAACAACTCCATAAACTAAACATGTTTTTCCTCAGATCATACTGCAGCTGCAAAGGATAGCTATTTAATCTCATGAAAACACATAGATACTTCAAACAGATGCAGGCAGGTATGACCTGAGCACACCCATATACTCCAAAGTACCGTTTTGCTGTTGAATCCTAAGTATTGCAAGATCCTAATTAATAAACTGGGCACTGTAGACCCAACCAAAAATTATTAAAATATATACTATACATGTACACATCTATACCTAGTCTATAGAGATATGAACTGAACAAAATCAGAACTTTCTTTTCTCCTAGTAGTTCATCCGTTTGGAAAATATCTGTCCAGAAAAGTAATTGCGAACTAAAACTGTGCAGATTTGGAATATACTAAATGATACTTTTCAGCTAGCAGAATACACTTTATTGGGATAGTTCTATTTCTCTCTTATATTCTGGA